CCAGGTGGTTACAGAAAATGCTAGACAGATGCTCTTCATCAGTGCCTGTGGATTCTTGTGTCACTAGTGACAACGGGATGGGGGAGAGGAAAAGGCTTCTGCCTGTGTGCTGACGTGTCCTGCCAGCCATCCCAGGCAGTCTCTCCCAAGGCTCTTGATAGGGTGCTCTGGGGGTCCTGTGGTGGTACCAGACCTGGTAGGGGGTTCTGCTGCCCTGCAGTGTTAGGGGGAGCCCCATGACTGAAGGGGGTTCCTTGGCATCCGGAGGTAACCTGGCATGGTGGCAGTAGGATGGCTCTGGATCCCTGAAGGCCAGCTTTGAGCCCAGTTCCTCACTAGCCACTATCTGAGTGGCCCCAGCCCTGGACCACCTGGCCCCTAGAACTTTCAAGTTCATGGTTGAAGTGGCCATTGAGTTGTCTCAACCACATGAGGGCTTCTGGGAAGATGGAGGATGGAAATGAGACCTGGGTGTACTCGGTAACTGGTAGCTGTTAGCAGGCGCCCTTTCTTCTTGGCATCCTTCCGGGGGCTGACTGTGTGGTGGTCACACACATGGGCCCTGGAGCAGGACAGATCAGGTGACCTCTGGCCCGATGTGTTCCCCCTCATCTGAAAAATGGGGATAATAATCACCTTCCCGTGCTGGATTTGTGAAGATGAACTGAGCCGATGCGTGAGAAGCCCCCGAGTCCAGAGCCCGCTCCCACTAGCTGGCTGTGTGAAGTGGGCAAGTTGCTGCTTCCGCACCGTGCAGTGGGGTGCGGTGGGGTCAGAGGCCAGCCTGTGCAGAGACGTTGGAGAGGCGCAAGTGAAATGAGTTGCAGCGCCTGCACTTAGTAGGCTGGGAGAGATGGAGACAAAGGACAGGAGGGTAGCCGCGGAACGCGGTGGGCGGAGTGAAGAAGCCGGCGGGGCAGGGAGTCAGGCAGCCGGGAGGGGGACCTTCTGAGCGGAGAGTCTCCGTCCGTGAGGTCCCTCCAGCGCCCACTGCACCAACCTGGAGTACACGATGGCTGTGGGCCAGGGGTACACAAGGCCACAGCACACATGGGGTACATCCTCCCTGGAGGGTCATTTTGCTGGAAGGATTACGGGGAGAAATGTTAGGTTATAACCACGGGATGGGTAACTTTATGTTACATCCATGTTATGAATCAGGACAGAGGAAACATAAAACTGCAGGGGAATCTGGGCCTGTGGCTGCTGTTCTGCCATACCCCAGCCTCCCTTGGGGAAGTGTGGCTGCCCCTTAGCCAGCACAAGCTCTTCAGTGAAAAAGTAGACAGCGTGGTCTTGTCCAACCCTCTCGTGTGTGGATGGGGAGACTGAGGCACTGAGAGGTCAGGAGACTGGCCAGCCCTAGACTCAGAGCCCTCCTCACTGGGCCCCATCTTTAAGGGCTCTTTCTGATTTCTTACTAGTTCAGATGGAAGAGCGCTGGAAGGCAGCCCTCACGGTGAATCTGTGCGAACCATATTCAGGGCCCAAGCGTTGAGATATGCATCTGGTACATGATGGCTGAAGGGCAGGAGGACCGATTGGGGGGCCAGCATGAGGGCGGGGGCGTGGCTGAGTGCAGCCGTCAGCTGCAGACCCCTGAGTATACAGGGCCTGCTAGCCTCTGCAGGGACACAGGGAGCCACCTGTTGCACCCATCACTGCCACCGGTCAGCAACTCTGAGCCTGCCCGGGACCCTGGAAGGCGTGCTGCTGGAGGGATGGTAGAGCATGTAGGAACCTGGAAGACAGGAATGTCGGGACCTTTTCAGCAGCACTTGCTGTGGGCTGCAGCTCTGAAACAAGCCAAGGGGAGAAAGGAGTTCCGTGGCCAAATTTGTTGGGAGACCTGGGGTTAACAGTCCGCTGGGTTCCGTTACTGCAGGACCTCTCCCAGCGGGCGCAGCTCCCGTGCATGGTGCCGCCCCAGATGGGCCGCGCCTCCCCCTTGCTTGATCACAGGCTCCTCTCCCTGGGATGCATTCAGGAAGTTGGGTCCCGGCGCACTTTGGGGAAAGCTGACAGTAACAGCAGCTCTCCTTTACCGAGTGCTTGCCTTGTACTAGGAACTGTGCTTAGTGGCCACAGTATTACTGCTCATATTATTGCTCGCCCCCCCTCCTCCCCCCGCCCCCGCCAATGAGGTGGGTAGCATTTTACTGTGTCCATTTTACAGAGAGGAAGCCTGAGGTGTGGGTGTTTCCATGACTTGTCCAGGGCCCCAGGCTGGTATGTGGTGAGCCGGGATTTGAACCCAGGCTTGCTGACACCGCTGCACTGTGGGGCTGCCACTCTGTTGCACTCTCCCCACGCACCAGCCTCCCTGCCCATCCAGCCCCTTCTGCAGACAGAGCACCTGCAGCCTGGGGTCTTAGGGTGAGTGGGGGAGAGGCAGGGCCTTGAACTCAGGTGTCCCTCCTGCCAACACACACTGCTGTGTCCTGAGACTCTGTGCCAAGCAAGGGGTCTGCTCTGCTCTGGGGCCAGGAGAGGGCCCGAAGCTGGCGAACTGTGCCCCTGTGATTCTCTGAATGGGTTGAGGCCTGTGAGCAAGGCTGCATGTACCCTTGGCTGTCTGGATTGAGGGAGAAGCCAGTGGGACGCCTACTTATAAACAGTGTCAACTGGGTGGGTGAGTCGGGGACATCGCAGCCTGCAGGCCCTGTCCATCAGCCTACACTTACTGTATGGTTTGAGGAAAGACCTTGGGTACTGAGGGCAGTTGGAGAAACTGAGGCCCAGGTCTAGTGGCAGAGAGGGGTAGAGCTGGGGCTTAGAGACCTCATCAGTAGTGCATCAAGTCTAAACAAGTCTTCCCCATCACAGGCTGTGGCCTCGGTCCTTTGGGGAGAGACTCCCCCTTCCCTGGGCTGCCTGCCCCTCCACCTCCCCCCATCTTTCCCTTCTCCTGCTCAAGGCCCCTGACTGCGGCCCCTTGCTATAGTCGTGTCAGGGTCCCGCACTGTGCCCACCAGGTCCTGCAGTTGGCCGTCGTAGCACAGCCACTCTGCACGTCCTCTCGCCTGGTGGGCTGTCTGCTTCCCATCAGGCGGAGGGCAGCGATCGCATCTTGCTTATGGTTGTGGCCTCGGTGCCGGGCATGTGAAGACGCTCAATAAATTCCCGATCGGTTGAAGGAGAATTAGCAGAAACCGTTGAAGTGTGGGTAGGAGGCATAGGGAGGGAGTCCAGGTCTTTATTACTCAGTGACAGGTGAGTGGAACAGCAGGACGCCGTGAATTTACTGAGCCCCCGCTGTGTGCTAGTCACGGGACTGAAGACAGGGAAATATACACTCTGATCTTTGCCCTCCGTGTGTTTATATTTTTCCCAGTAAGACAAGGGTAACACATATAAAACCACTGAATAACAGGCTGCTAAATTCCACGCTGGTTTGGAGGACAGCATTCCCTTGAGTGACCCACAGTAGCAAAGTGGCGCTGCCCCCTGGGGGCCGCTGACTCACAGGTTGTAGCTCATTCATTCTGATCTTGGTCATGAGATGCAGGTATCATAGTCCTGTTTTACAGGTGAGGAAGCTGAGGCTCGGACCGGAAAAGGAATGTTCCTGCGATCAAACAGCTAGGGGCTGGCAGAGCTGAGCTCACGGTCAGGCTCCGAGCCCAGTGCTCTTCTGACTTAACCTGATACTTGGAATTCACACCCAGTAGCCGGGCCTCTGGCCCGAGGTCGGAGACCGCAGGCAGTGGGAGTTGATGATGGTCCCGCTCACCGACTGTCCGCGCTCGTGGTAGGAATACTACTCATGCTTCATTCAGTCTTCACGTAGATGCTCTTAAGTTATCCACAGTTTTCCAATAAGGAGACTGAGGCCCGGCCAATAAATGGTTTAGCTGAGACTCCATCCCAGGGCTGTCTGACTTCAAACCAGTGGTTCCCACACCTGGTTGCTGGGCATCAGAATCCTCTGTGGATGCTTTGGGAAAAGGCAGCTTCCTAGGCCCCTGGCCCTAGCCATTCTGGTACTGTTAGCCTGGGGTAGGGTCAGGGACTCTGTGTGTGTGCAAGCTCCCAGGTCGTTCTGTTAGGGATGGGGCCTGGGCCCAGGTGGTGGCAGGCCTGTGTGAGGGATGGGCAGGGCCTCTAACTCCTGGGACCCCTGCCAGGCTGGGTCTGATGGGCTCTGCTTGCCTTCCTGCCATGGGCCTTTGCCCTGTGATCTGCATGGGTGGGCCCTGCCTTTGACTTATCTGAAATGCCTGCTGGGAACTCAGCCATTTCAGTCTACCTGCCTCTGGGAGAAGGGCCTGGCAGAGGGCTGGAGTCAGACATTCATACCATGTTGATCTCTGCACGTCTGAGGGATCAAGACGGCACCTCAACAGACGAGAGAGGCCCTCTCCTTGTCAGACACATCTGTAGTAGAGCTGGGCACTTCCTGATGGGGCGCAGGGCAAACTCCGTGAGGTACGTACTTTTAGCCCCATTTTGCAGATGGGCAGACCGAGGCTTAGTGTGTTTAAGGAAATTACCAAGGTCATTGCTGCTGGTAAGTGGCAGGACCCAGATGTATGGTTTAAAGCCTGTCCTCTTAACCTCTGTCCTTCCTGGCGGGGAGAGCAGTAGCTAGAAATTATTCTGTTGCATCTAAGTGATGATTTCCTTACATGGATGCAATTTATTCCTTATCCTGAAATTCTTTTACATTCGTCTCCTTTTTCCTTTCAAGGAATAACTGTGAGTTACCTAAGAGGTTACCCTCTCTGTCTTAGATTTGGAAGCTGAGGCCCAGAGGCGGGAAGTGACTCTCCCAAGGTCACTCAGAAAATAGAGACAAAAACCTGAAATAGACCCCAGCCTCCTGGCCTCCAGCTCAGTGCTGTCTTTGCTGGTCCTTGCTGCCTCTTTGCTCGTGGGAGGCACGATAGCCCATTGGCACAGAGCTAGCATTACCTGGAGGCATCACCAGGGGTCCCGGGGCCTCGTGGTTGCGCACGTTGGATGCTGGCTGACCAGTCCTTTCCTTTCCTGTTTTCTAGGGTCCTACGAGTGTGGAATCTGTGGCAAGAAGTACAAGTATTACAACTGTTTCCAGACCCACGTACGGGCACACCGAGGTGAGTGACATGTCCCTGGGGCAGAGCTGAGGGGCCGCACCTCCCCATCCTCTGCCTGTTTTTCCACCTGGGCCCCTCCAGGGTGACCCCAGAGGCCCTCAGAGCTCTTTCTGCAGTAGGAGTGGGACCCGAAGAGGAGAGGAGAGGCCTCCTTAACTTGGGAGAGCACCCAGGGATGGGGGTGGGGTGGGGTGGGGTGCAGCAGGATATGCCACCAGTGCCCCCTGTCTGCCCCCCACAGGCCCGCTTCCTCCCAAGGTGCTTCAGTGCTGTTCACTGTCAGTGGTCCTTGCAGGGAAGGTGCTCGTGTGTCATCTCATGTGCTGCTCATGGCAGCCCAGGGAGTGGGGCGGGGCGCTGGCTCCATTCTGAAGGTGAGGATGCTAAAGCGACGGGGACAGGAGGGATGGCGCCTGCCCCTCCCTGAGCCTGACCCTGGCAGGCAGGGAGGAAGGGCACCGGCTCAGGGCCCGACAGACAGTAGAGAACGGCGAAGGCTTTGTGCCTGCATCCTGAGCGGGAAGAGAGCATCCCTGGGCACGCGGTAGCGGCTTCTCCTGGCCTCCGCCCGCCCGGCTTCTCTCTCTTTTGATGCTGGCCCTTCCATTGGTCCACTCTGCTCACCACCTCCTTCTCTCTCTCTCACAGACACAGAAGCCACCTCAGGGGAGGGAGCCTCCCAAGGCAGTGAGTATTTTTCCCTCCTCTTGGACTGTGCGGGCTGAGAGGGCCAGGGGTGGGAGGAGAAGGGAGAGCCAGGGCCGAGGGTGATGCTCTCAACCCATCACCCCCACCCCAGGCGGCTTCTGGGAGGCCTGTTGCTGTGATGCAGGCTTTGGCTTTGGACACAGCACCTCAGAGCAGCCTTTCCCAAAGTGTGCTCCATGGCATAGGCATGCTGGGGGAAGTTAACAGGCTTTCTGTCAGTAAAGGGTTCTCTGGCCAGATAACCTGGGGAAGCCTTGAGTTCTGCTAAGTTGAACATGTTTCTTTGCTGTAGACTTTTCAGGGCCCTTCACTGGCAAAATATGCACGTGTATCCCCAAGAGGGGTCCAGGGTATACACCATTTCCTGTGTTCTTTTGACTCCCACTCATGGGTCGGGGGCTCCGTAGCTGATGTTGGGGAAATGCTACTTCAGAGAGTCATCCACCCATGGGCACGAACCCTGGGGTGCGGTATCCCGCCACTTGGCATATACAGGGCCTCGGCATCTGGGGATACTGTTCTGCTTGGCTACTTGCGGCCCCTGCTTGCCTTGCCTCCAGATCTAAACCCACAGGGCTGGTAGGCAGCCAGCACAACAAACCTGACTGCGCCCCGGAACCCAGCAGTTTCCCTCCCAGGTGCGTGTGTGCGCACATCCACCCAAAGATGTGAATTAGGGTGTTCTTAGCACTATTCGTAACGGCTTCAAACTGGAAGCCACCCAAGTGCCTAGTGCTAGTTGAATAGATAAGTGAGTCATGGTGTGTCCCACAAAGGACTACAGTACAGCAGTGAGAGGGAAAGGCTGACAGCTACACACAGCAACGTGGGTTACCCACAAACAGAACGTTAGCAAAAGGAGCCCGGCACAAAGAGTGCTTCCCCTAAGGTCTGTGTATAGAAAGTACAAGAACAGGGGAAACTAATTCACGCTGCAAGAAGTCAGAGTCGTGGTTACCCTTGGGAAGGGGTTTCTAGGTTCTGTGATTTGAGTTGGGCACTGGTTACAGGTGTTTTCGGTTTTCAAAAATGTAACGAGCTGAACGTTTAGGATTTGTACATTTTTCTCCATCAGTGGTCAGCATATTTTTTGATAGGGGACCAGATAGAAAATATTTTAGACTCTGCAGCCTAGGTTATCTCCATCGCAGCTGCGCAGCTCTGCCATGGAGCACGAACACAGGCAGAGACGGTATGGAAATGGATTCCTTATCAAAACAGACAGTGGGCAGGCCATAGTTTGGCCACCCCTGTTCTGCATGTTTGGTATACCACCATGAAAAGTTTCTTAAAATAATAAATAAACACGAGCCACCCCCCTTAAAAATCCAAAACCGAGTAGTTTGAGGAGGCAGGGCCTTAGTTGCAATTGGGTCCTAACAGCATTCCTCCTAAGGCACTTTGGCATCCACTCTCTCTTTGGATTCTTACACCACGTGAAAGGCCTGCAGGGCTGAGGCTACCCCTCCGTTTTCTGGAGAATCTGAGCCTCAGGTTGGCCAGGCACCTGCCCCAGAGTCCTCGGCAGGAGGAATTCAGGGTCCTATGCCTCCTCCCCAAGCCCCACGCTGCCCCTGCCTGGCCCCGGGCTCCTTCTCCCTCAATAGCTCCCTTCTCTTCCGGCTCCCATCGCCCGCCTGTGGTCAGCCGCACAGTTAAGGAACTTCCCTATTTATCTTTCCTTCTTTGGCTATTCTGAGCCCCTGGCCTCTCCAGCAGCCCCTCAATGATCCGTTATGCTCCGTCTGGCTTCCGCTGTTCCCGGAGTTTCACTAGTTGTGGAGGACTTCGTGACTGGGGGTATTTTTAGTCCTTCCTCTCTGCGGACTTCACTCCCCATGGCCAGTGTGCTCTGCTGGACTCTGTGTTCCGTCCTGCCCCCACGCCCTGCCCTGGGCCAGCAGTGCCTGCTCAGACAGCCTGGCCTTCTCACACCCCAGCCTTGCGACAGGACCTGGCCATGGAGTCCTGTGGAGAATGTCAAGTCCAGCCTTGACCTCTTTGCAGAAGAGGATACTGAGCTCCAGAGAGAAGTCATGCAGCTTCTTAGGGGTGGAGGTGGGCATAGAAACCACGTCTCACACCTTCTAGTCCAGGAATCTTTCGTTTATTTGTTAGAAAAATAGTACAGTCATACGTAGAGGCATATACCCAGTTACCCATCTCTCAACTACGAACATAAAAGATAAACTCCGCATCGAGCTCTCTTGCCTTTGTTTAACAATAATATTAGGTAACATTTACCAAGTATTTATTGTATGTTAGGTGTTGTGCTCATTTATTCTTTATCACAATTCTGGGAGATGAAGGAACATATCAGTCCTGTTTTACAGTTGAGAAAATCGAGGAGCAGAGAGTTTAGGGCACGTGCCCAACATTAATGGCACCTGTAAGTGGTGGAGTTGAGTTTGAACTTGGGCAGCCTGACTCCAGAGCCTGCCTCCCCAGAGATTCCTGGAGTCCCTGAACTCTCTTGGGGTCCTGAAGATGTGGTTTCACTGACCAAAAAATCATTTTGCCTTTCTTCCTTTGGGGATAACTCTCTTGTCCTAATTCGCTCCTGCCTTAGGAGGGCCCGGGCATGTGGTCCTGTCCGCATCGAGGAGACATAGATCAGGATGTGGCGTGGGATTCGACAGAGCAGGGTGGGGCACTTCTCAGTGGCAGAAAGCTGGGGGGTTCACCTTTTATTGGAGGTGGCGGATGTACGTGGCCCAGCTGGTAGGAGAGGCAGCGTGAGCAGAGATGAGACACGTGGGGTGGGCAACTGCGGGGTGACCAGCGCTGACCAGTATGGGAGAGGACTCACGGGGCAGGACCCCATCTGGAACCAGCAGACCCCAGTTGGGCTTGACTTCTCCACCTCTGTTCCCCGGGTATTCAGCTCTGAAAAGGATTACGGTCCAGATGGGACATGATGGGGTAGGTTGTTGCCTGTGTTGGATTGCTGGCCATGGGGAAGGATCGAAGCCTGTGCCAGGCTTGGAATCCTGGAACTGCCAGCCTGGGAGAGACCCTGGGAATCAGCTCATCTACCACCACACCCCCTCCCCAAACTAGGGGGGAAATGGGGATGCTGAATCCCGAGGTGGGGTTGTCACTTGCTGGCAGTCTGGGTGAGACAGGTGGGGACCAAGAGCCTCCTCCCCACGTCCCACCACCTCTACCCCGCCACTCCGTGGTGGGTCGGGGCAGGGGCATGGAGATGGGAGGGCCTGGTAGGATGGTGGATGCCTGAACCCTGCCTGGTCCCCACACCCTCAGAATGTCTGTGTGTACCTCGCCTGGAGACCAGGTCGTCTCTGTGGCCCTGCATCTTCCAGGCACGTCCAGGGACTGCAGGTGCCTTGGAAAAGGTGGAGGCAGAGGCAGGGAGCTGGCTAATGCCACCCGTGTCCCTGAGTTCAGCTAAGCGGGGGCCAGAAACCCTCCCACAGAATCGCCTGGCACTGCAGCCTTGGGATGGGGCAGTCACATCGGATCCTGTGTTTGGGTGCTGAGGAGCAAAAGACAGGCCAGGAGGCTGGTACCCCAGCCCAGGAGTGGAGAGTGATTCATCCGGACAGAGAAGGACCGTGTGCCCTGACTCAGCCGCGGCTCAGAGTTAAGTGAGTAGCTGGATCCTGGCTGTTCCCTGCCCCGCTCTACAGCCTTGAGCAAGCCACCCAACCTCCCTGTGCTGGGCATCCTCGGGAAGCTGGGGTGGACGAGCCATCCCTAGATCAGCCCAAGGAGCACACACGCAAGGTCTTTGCTAGTCCAGACGTTGGAGGGGCTGCCGATGTGGCAAAGGCACTGTTCTGTACGAGTCCAGCCTCAGACTTTGGAGAGGCCTAGGGGGTCATCCAAACACAGGCCCTGTCATTGTTTATTGCTGTGTCACACACTTCCCCGTGGCTTCACCTGGTCCTCTGGCTCTCTCACGAGGCTGCAGTCAAGGCCGGGGCTGTGGTCTTATCTCACAGCTCAGCCGGGGAAGGGACCGCCTCTGTATGTACTCCCATGTTTGTCAGCAGGATCCATCCTTCCCAAGCTGTTGGGCTGAGGGCCTCAGTTCCCCACTGGCTGTTCACCAGAGGCTGCCAAGTGGGTCTCTACGTGAGGCAGCCTGCAGCAGGGCAGCTAGCAAGAGCGAGACGGTGTGAGCAAGGCCAAAGTCGTAGTCTTCCTGTGACATCACTTAACTCTGAGCCGCGGCTGAGTCAGGGCACACGGTCCTTCTCTGTCCGGATGAATCGCTCTCCACTCCTGGGCTGGGGTACCAGCCTCCTGGCCCTCTTTTGCTCCTCACCTTACTGCATTGCCTCTGTTAGAAGCGAGTCAGCGGGTCCAGCCGAGACATTGCACAGGACGGGAATGCCAGTAACCAGGGTCATTCAGAACCATCCATGATGGGCCTCACCCAGGCCCCCCTTGCTGTAGGGCTTGCAGCAGGTCCCTTCTGCCCCTCAGTAGACTCAAGTGTTAAATGGGTTATTACCTCCTCCCTCGATTGCAAGGCCGAATGGAGGGAATGCTGGGGAAGCTCCTGGCCTGGCCCCTAACAGTACAGCCAACACCCAGGAAGCTGTAGCTGCAGTGACTCTTATTCTCACATAACAAAGGAAGTCATGAACCAGGCCCTTAGGGGCTTAGCTCACATGGGGTAGGATCGGAAGTGCCTTTGAAAATCACTTCAAGGCTCCCTGGTCTCCTTGTGTACAAGACTCCTAACACCCCAGGAACCATTCTCCATGGAGTCACCAGTTGGGCCCAGTCTGGCCCACACCACCTCCCCCAGCCCCAAGTGACTGAAGCCCTGGTAACCACGTGTCTTTCCATCCCCCGCAGACAACTTCAGGTACACGTGTGACATCTGCGGGAAGAAGTACAAATACTACAGCTGTTTCCAGGAGCACCGAGACCTGCACGCAGTGGATGGTGAGTCAGGCCCCTCACTCCTCAGGAGCGGAGTCCCATAAAGAGACCCCCCTCCAGGGCTGCTTATGGGGCCCAGGGCCCACCCACAGCTTCCCCTCCCTCTTCCTACCCAGGGAAGGTCGGGCAGCAGGCAGACCACGAGTGGAGTGACGAACCTCCGAGGGTTCTGGGCTAGAGAAGGTCTCCATCATATTCCATATGTATTTCTGATGAGGGTAACCCAAGTGAAGTTGCCGTTTTTGAGGGTCAAAATCAGTCGAATATCAGCAATTTTATACAGATTTATTTTATGATTTCATGTTGAGTATTCACACGCTCTGGTGAAATTAAACCAATTTTTAAAATCGATGATATTTTAGCATCTTAGATTATACAGTTAGAAATTAGAACGATAAATTTAGGTAATTTATTTTTGGAATCTTAAGAATCCTAGAAATAGGGTCTTTGACTGGAAAAGCCTCTGGAGGGTTCCCTCTCCAGCCCCACACCCCAAGCCCGTGTCAGGCTGTGACAGCCGGGTCTCACCACCTGTCGCCTCTGGTCCATCCTTCCTCTCACCTCCTTTTTCTTTACCCATGCCCCCATCTCTTCCTTTTTTTCTCCTGCCCTGGTCCCTCGAGCGTCTGGCGGTGATCCAGAAACAGGCCAGCCCAAAAGCGTCTTCCTGCCCGGGGGTGGGCCCTCGAGGAATGGAGGGATGTGCCCTCCTGTGGCCCTTGGTTTCCTGGGCAGCCACAGTGGCTGAGGCAGCTGTCCTGGGCCCCAGAGGCAAGCTTGCTGGGGCAGAGGCTGGGAGCATTGGGCAGAGGCAGCTATGGGCAGGGACTAACAGGGTTCCTGTTTGCTTCTTTCCTTCTGCGGCTGCCGCCTCCCACCCGGGCGCAGTGTTTAGTGTGGAAGGGGCCCCTGAGAATCGGGCAGGTAAGTCCTTGGTGGCTGCCCACCTCCCTGTCCCAACCTGGGCTCTGAGACCTGGTTACCAGGGCACTAAGGGCCGTGTGTTCTCCCACAGACCCCTTCGACCAAGGTGTCGTGGCCACCGACGAGGTGAAGGAGGAGCCCCCGGAACCATTCCAGAAAATCGGGCCAAGTATGCAGGCCTCTCTCTGGGGCCGGGGCTGGGTGGGGAGACAGGTGGGGGTGGCTGAGGGTGGCAGGGCAAGTCCCACCACTGGAAGGGGGCAGCGTTGCTAATCCTGCAGCAACAGCTCTGGCCAGCGAGGCACTGGCCTCCTTGTACCTCACTTTGCCCACCTGTCAAATGGGTCAGTCACTCTTAGGACTTGCTTTTGAGAAGCAGCAGGACAGCACAGGGTCCAGGTCAGGGCAGTGAAGGTAGCACAGGCTTGGTGCCCAGTGTTAGCCATCCTGAGCCTTGGCTCCTCACCTGTGGAGTAAGGGTGACACTTCCCCGCAGGTTTGTTGGGGGATTAAATGAGATCATGGATATAAATCACCTATTAATTAGCACAGTGCCTGGTACATAGTAGGTGCTCGGAAAATACTGTCGTTACTGTTGTCAGAAGGGGTTTATCAGCAAATGAAGCTCTCTGGGGGAGCTACATGCAGACGCTCCGTCCTCATCCCAGTAAACCCCTGAGAGCAGGAGCCACGCACTTGACCTGCCTATTCGCAACGCACTGGTATTGAGTACTGTGGGAACACAGCAGTGAGCAAGACAGATGTGGCCCTGCCTCGGGTAGTTCACACAGGGAGGGGGCAGTAGGTCAGTAAGCAGGTAGTTACAACATAGAAGCCCAGGGAGCAGTGGGGCTGGGGGGCAACTGACCAGCCTTGGGAATCCATGAGGCTTCTGCGTGGGGATGAGGGTAGGGATGAGCCCCTGTATCCCACATGAAGGCAGCAGAGCTGCACTTGTTCCAGGAACTGAAAGGCAAATCGATTCTGAGTTCAGGTCTTAGAGAGCCTTGAAAACCAGAAGAAGGCAGTTAGATTTCATCCTGAGGGGAATGAGCCAGAGTTTACTCAGTGGAGGAGGGACTTGATCAGGTTTGTGCTTTAGGAAGACATTTTGGCTGCCGCAGGGGGTGTGGATTTGGGTCGGGGTGGAGGTTGGTTCTCGCAAGTGAGACCGGTCCAGCCCTTCAGGAAGTTGCATGCTTGCTTCTTCCTCTCTATTTTTCCATGCCTCTCTTACTACCCAGCAAGAAGAGACCTTTATTGTCTCTACCTGTTGCAATAAGGATTAAGGCAGCTTGTGAAAATATACACACAAACATAGATTGAATGGATGAGGAAGTTTAGGGAAGGAGAGTCAAGGGAGCTGGAACAGTGAAGCCAGAGACAAGCCTCAGAGGGCGGGACTTGGTCCCGGCCCTTGGAAGGCATTGGATGGGCCCCTGAGTGTTCTTCCTCCTTCCTCGTAGGAGATGATTCTCTCCTTTTCTTTACCTCTTAAAGCACTCAGGAAACTGGAGATGTGATAATGTCTGTAAATATGATGTAAAAATAATGTCTGTATGACAGCACTTGTCATATGCAATGGTAAACATTCAATAAACAGTAACATTAAAATAATCTTGAAGTGGGGACTTGCCTGGCGGTGCAGTGGTTAAGACTTCACCTTCCAATGCAGGGGGTGTGGGTTCGATCCCTGGTCAGGAAACTAAAATCTCACATGCCTCAGACCCAAAAAACCAAAACATAAAACCGAAGCAATACTGTAACAAATTCAATAAAGACTTTAAAAATGGTCCACATCAAAACAAAAACAATCTTTAAAACAAAAAAACAACAGTCTTGAAGTGAAGAAAATGATGAAATCCTTAACAGTAAAACTGCCAGAAGTTAGACTGTGGGAGAACCCAGATGTGAATCAGACATGTTCCATGATGGAAGTTCATAGACCAATGCAGGACAGGGACACTGGGATCTGTGAAACTCCCCCCCTCCCGCTTCAGTGTTGTCTGCCAGCAGTCCCAGCATAGCACCACCCCTTCCATCTGTAGCATCATAATTATCAAAATAGAATACAGACAACATAGGCTATAGAATCAGACAAGCCCAGGTTTGAATGCTGACATCACCAATTTACTAGCTACTTACCCCCACTGAGTGTCCTTTGATTCTTGTATAAATTGGGAATAAGAACATCTATCTGTTCTTCAGGGCTGTTGGAGGATGCCTGTGTCAAGTGTCTAGCCCAGCACCCGGCTCGTATTTAGGGCTTAACGAATGAGCGATGTTGCTGAGAGATAGTCAAGAGCGAGAGCTTTAGAGCCATCCCAAAGATGAACCCCAGCTCTATACTTAATGCCTGTGTGACGTCCTGCAAGTTTTATAATCTCTCTAATCACAGTAATGACAGTAAAACTCACCTCTCAGGATTGTCATGGAGATTAGATGAGATTATATTTGTAAAGGAATTAGTATAGTCCTTGACATGTACATGGAAAGCATTAAACAAGTGGTAGCTATTAATTATCCAGAAAGGTACAGAGCAAGATGAAACTTGTTCTCTATATCAGTAACTACGTCTGACAGCCAGCCAGTGCTAGGACCCAGGAGGAATTATCACAAATTATATGGAGTAGGGAACTGCATTGAGAAAACTGACTGAGTTTGGCTCCCAGCTTGACGCCATGGAACTGAGATGTCTATAAGAGTATGAGGCTGTTCCTTGTTACCACTCAGCAGCTGCCTTGTGAGATCAGAATCCTGCTTCTTGGGCTTCTGCCACTTTTTGTAAGCTGGCCAGTGCCACAGAACCCTGATAGTGATGAGGCACAGAATAAGGGGAGCCAGTAGGGGTACAGTGCACTGTGGAGGGACTAGTCCCCACAAGTAGAGCTCTATAGGTCAGGGGAAGAGGAGAAACAGTGGCAGCAGGGCATGCTGGGAAGTTTGCCTTTCACATCCATGTCAGCTGAGCAAATTGGAGAACTAAGTACTCAAGGAGGAGGAAGCCAGAGCCAGTACAGAGCAGAGGAATCCTGCTAGAAGGAGGGAGTTGGTCTAAGAGGCCCTGTGTGTCAACGTGCTCTTTGGGTGCAGATCTGAGAATTACTCCCATGGTAATGGTCTACCATGATAATGGGGGGACGATTGAGGACAATTCGTTCAAGTCTATTGAAACAGTGTAAATCTGGATTTATTTATAGGTTACTTGAGTTTTATACCTGGATAAGGAAGAGTGACTTGAAAGGTAAAAAAAAAAAATAAGAAAATAAAACTTGGGAACTATGAAAATTCCACATGACAAGAAAGGAATTTAAGAGACTTAGAGGAAGAGTATACCTCTGAAAATGATCTACCACAGAGTCTAGAAGGAAATGCTGCTTGGCAACCACAGTCAAGTATGAGAAAATATGACCTGTCTTAGTTCACTCAGGCTGCCATAACAAAGTACCATAGACTGGGTGACTTAAATAACAGAAATTTATTTTCTCACAGTTCTGGAGGCTGAAGTCAAAATCAGGGTGCCAGTATGATTGAGTTCTGGTCCAATGACCCTCTTTCTGGCTGTACTCTCACATGGTGAGAAGAAAAAGAGAGCAAACTCTCTGGTGCCTCTTGTTATAAGGGCACTAATCCCATCATGAGGGACCCCACCGCCATCCTCATGACTTCATCTAACCTAATTACTTCCCAAAGGCCCCATCTCCAAATAGCATTGCATTGGGAGACAGGACATCATCATCTGAATTTTGGGGGGAAACAATTCAGTCCATAGCATGACCTCTGTAAAAAAGGAAGCTGTATGGTGAAAAAGCAACAAGATAAGATGAAAAACCAAAGAGAGAGGAATGAGATGAGAAGAATTGGAGAGAAGCAGAAAATATAAGAGCAGATTTAAAACCTACATTGTAGATAGTAAAGAGCAGAGTTGATCTGCAGAAATGGAATTAATAATGTGAAGGACAAACTTGAACAGATGAGCTTAATAAGCAGAAAACATGATAAATATGGAGAATGGGGAAACTGTTCCAGATAATTGGTGGGACAGAAGCAATACTCCAAAGATACAATAGAAGAAAAAATTGCTTAGCTAAAGGAAGACCTATATGTCAGGTAGAATCAATAAAAAAGGACCCATAACTAGATAGATATTAGTGGCTTTTTAAACTATAAATATAAGGGGGAAAACTATACAGGTGCCTGGAAATAAGAAAGCAAGTTACTTACAAATGATTTCAAGGTGGACTTGCATCGGACTTCCCTGCAATACTAAATGCTGAAAGATCATGGAATAAGTTCTGAAGGGAAAAAGGTGTAACCTAAGAATTTTATATCTAGACAAACTGTGATTTGTGTGTAAAAAAAAAAAACAAGGGCTCAAAAACGTGCTATTTCTCCTATATACCCAACTTCAAAAAATTACTTGAAGATGTACTCCAATGAACTGAGTGGTTGAACACATTTAAGGGCTCAATTATGAGGCATTAATTCATAGTAAAAGAGGACTTGTGAATACTGAAGCCAGGTAAACTAGAAGTAAGTTTAAGTTTAAAATGTTGCAAATCTGATTATAAAATTGAATGCAAAATAAGATCATTCTAAAATATTAAAAATGAATGTTAAAAACCAGGAAGGAAGGAATAGGTGAAGGATACAATAAAGCAGGTTAAATCAGTCCTGCTTATAGTGTGGTCCCCAAACCAGCAGCATAAGCATCTCCTAAAAGCTTATTAAAAATGTAAATTCTCAGGCCCCACACCAGACCTGTGGAATCAGAATCTCCAAGGTGGGGCTCAGGTGTCTGTGTTGTAACAGTCTTTCTAGATGATTCTTATTAGGGCAAAGTTTGAGAGGCACTGAGTTAAACTACCTTTCTCAATGGTAATAGATATGAAAATATCATTTCGTGCTTGACTATAAAAATTAGAGAAATGTATCTTATATACTGTCTAGAACAATGGAAAATATTGGAAAATGCTGGAATATTGGAGAATAATGGAAAGGCAAAGAAAAGGGTTCATACATCAAACAACTGAAAACTAAGGGAATAAACCAGAAAGGGTATAGGATGAAAAGAAAAGAATCATAAGACAAGTAAAACCAAGTCAGTAATAGCAATAAAAGCAAATGGCATAATTTCCTTTATTAGAAGACAAAGATTCTCAGGTTAACTTAAAAGAATCCAATTAAGAATGGTTTATTAGAGACATACTTAGTTAATTCCTTGTCTTTTACTCTTCTCTTTCCCATGGAGCTCTTTCCTACTCCCTTAACTAAATTGAATTCCCTATTAAGATTTTCACAGCACCGTGTCTCCTTAAGACTACCCATTGTGGTTGCAGTTTTAGATTTGTGTGATGATTTGATTTTTCTTTCTCCTTTTCCAGACTGTAAGTTCCTTGAAGGCAGGGACCATTGCTCGACATTTTGTGCCAGCATTTAGCACAGTACCTGTTTGATGAATGCAAGTACAAGAAAATTTAGGGAAATGGCTTTAGGCACATGTGAACAAGTAGAAGGATCTAACAAAGTAATTATCAAGAACTAAAAATATTAATACCAGACAAACTAATAAAACAGTGTAATTAAAAGTTAGAGTGGGGCTTTCCTGGTGGCACAGTGGTTGAGAGTCCGCCTGCCAATGCAGGGGACACGGGTTCGTGCCCCAGTCCGGGAAGATCCCACATGCGGCAGAGCGGCTGGGCCCGTGAGCCATGGCCGCTGAGCCTGCGCGTCTGGAGCCTGTGCTCCGCAGCGGGAGAGGCCACAACAGTGAGAGGCCCGCGTATCAAAAAAAAAAAAAAAAGAGTGGTGGTTCTTAACTTTCTAACACTTCAGGATTTTCTTCAGGACCTGTTAAAACACAGTTTACTGGATCCCATCCTTAGGATTTTTCTTGCAGAATGTTTCGAATAAGTCCCGAGAATTTGCATTTCTAACAGATTCCCAGGCGATGCTGATTGCCACTAGCCCAGGGACCATGCTTTGAGAACTGCTGTGTTAGAAAATAGTGTAATGTTAACAAAGGATATGGTTCAAAGTGGAGGTTTTGATCTCGTGAGCCTGTCTGCATCAAACAACATTATATCTAAATATACAAAATAAATTCAGAAACACAATGAATTGGAAGGATTGATCACAACATTTAGTCTTTGACAGAGCAAGGAGAGAAATAAAGGTTATATAGAGTTTGAATAATACAATTAATACAGTTGATCTAACAACTTCAGAGCCTACCTACAAAGAGCAATAATATATCTTTACCGCGGTCATGAATCAGTTAACAAAAATTATTTTTTAGCTACCAAAATTTTTAAAGCTTCTATATTGTGAGAAAAGAGCATAAACAGACTAAGAAACCAATTGAGAAAAGATACTTGTAACGTGTCGAACAAAATGTTGATGCCCTTAATCTATAGAGTTCTTAGCGATTTTAAAAAGGTAAACATGCCTGTAGAAACATTGACTGTAAACGCAAATAGGAAAGTCACAAAAGAAAAACTGTAGTTCATTAATCCTCAAAAATAGCTTCCTTAGAACTCAAAGAAATGGAAAATAAAACCAGCAGTGCAATGTATTTCTCCCTATCAGGTACAGTGAGAAGATGATAGTACTTAATGCTCGCTACAGTATATGGAAACAGTCATTTTGAGATCTTTCTGATGGGGGCGAAAATTGGCCCAGTCTTTCAGTAAGTAGTTGGTGCTGTGGTGATCAAAAGCCTTAAAAATGCAGACCCTTAATTTATCCTGGGGAAATATGTGCAAAGATTATGAACAATAATCTTTATTTTGCAGTGGTGTGCAAAAATAATGAGCAGATGTGCAAAAATTTCTACGAGGATATGGATCACAGCATTTTTTTATAAGGGAAAATTTTGAAACAATCTCAATGTCCTCTGGTTTAGAAGACTGGCTCAGCAAATTCCAAAGTCCAGTGGTAACCAGGCAGCCAATAAATGCAGTAGAGATCGATGTTTATTGATTTGAGCAAGATGTCTACAAAATATTGTTGATTGAATGCACCAGGTTACAAAGAGCATATAGATCACGGCCGACTAATTCAAGGCCCGTAGAAGCCAGACGGCTGACGTCAGTGAGAGATGAGATGGGAGTGCAGGGTGGGGTCTGGGGCAAGTGGCCAGGTGAATGCTCCACCCTGTGGGGTAGCTGCTACTCTTTTTTGGGGATTATAGATGATTGAAGTTTCTCTTATATTTAAAATTTTGTATTTGTATTTATCAGTATTTTATAATTTTCCCCCAGTGAACAATATTACATCAGAAATTTTTAAGAAGAAAGAAGTTAGGCAGTGCCAAAAGAGAGGTAAAGATGAAGTCCGGTGGGACCCAAGAGGAAGACATGGCCCCTTCTGCCAGGGGGTGGGGGGCGTTTGGGGGCAGGGAAGACCCTGGAGACAAGGTGACCCACATGTGGCCATTGCAGAGGGCAAGGCTTGAAAAGGGGCTGATAAAGAGGTTGGCACTGGAGGTCAACTCAGGTCACCACCCATTTCCTGAGCACCGGGGCCTGGGGGTGGAGCGATGGAGGAGGACAGCGTGTGCCAGGTACTGTTCTAAGCATGTGACATACAAATTTAATCCTCACAGCAATCCTATAAGGTGGTCCTATCATTGCCCCATTTTACAGATAGGAAAACTGAGGCACGGAGAGGTTATTAGATTTGCCTAAAGTCACACAGCTTGAAATAGAGGAGCTGGGATTTGAACCCTGGCGGTCTGACTCAAGGGGGCTCCTGATTCTAGTTGGTGGTCCCAGAATGAGGAGGGGTTTGTGGGGAGGGAGCAAGCTGCTACTTCTGGATGGGAACAGGCACCCATTCCCACACTCTCCTCTCCTTGGACAGAAACCGGCAATTATACCTGTGAATTCTGCGGAAAGCAGTACAAGTACTACACGCCCTACCAGGAGCACGTGGCCTTACACGCCCCCATCAGTGAGTACCTTCTCTGGTTGCGGGAAGGGTGGGCCAGCCATAGGCTGAGGCTCTGGAGTTTTGCTAGGGGAGGGTGAAAGCAAAGGTGAACTTGTTCTGGGTCAGCCTCTAGGTGTCCAGGTCTGACCTGGGGCCACCTGACTGCAGGAGCAGGGAAAGCCCCACCCTTAAGCCAGCAAAGTCTGAGTCCTCCCCTGGTGGTCTCAGAGGCCTGGGCCCATGTGGATTTTGGGTTAGGAAGGGTGGGCATCATTCACCCAAGTCCTTCAGCAGCCTTGTCCTCACCTCTTCCAAGCACCTCCAAATCATGTGGTCCCTGAGTCGCCATCCCCAAAGGCAGCGCCATGTAATGCAGCTTCAGTCTGAACCAGTGCAGGGCCAGGCTGGAGGATGGTCAGTTAGACAAGACAGCTTTGCCCTTGGAGGTAGAAAGGGTAAGAAGTCAGAAGGAGTGCCAGGCCGGCCTCAGAAGCCCCGGGTATTAGTCCCAGTGGAGTCACAGGCATGTGTGTGGCCTTGGGCAGGCCCCCAATCTCTCCCTCCTCCCCTGGCCTGGGAGGGAAAGGGTTCTAAGGATTCTTCCCACAGGGACATCCTGGCCTTCCATTCTCCCCATGCGGCTGATTTCCCAGCTTCCCTTTTGGATGTCAGAGGGGGCTGTATCCTTAGATCCCCAAGTATATGAGCTAAGAGGGCCCTCAGTCCTCAGGCAAAGTTCAGACAGGGCGGGGCTTAACCACATTGCAGGGCAGTAGGGCGGGATGTTGAAGAGGTATTTGGGAGTATCCCTGCTTTTGTTTGTCACAAAAGAGCTATGGGGATCCCACTCCACAGTCTGTGGATAGGAAGGTTTAGGTTCAGGGAGGGGAAGGGATCATGCAAGGTCATCAGGGGTGCAAGGTGCCTAGAGTACGGGAGGCCCAACCCTCCTGGAGCACTGACAGTAGCAGCACAGGCCCCTGGGCCCCTGATGGCTTTCAGGTGGGCAGGGAGGGGTGTCCACAGCTCAGGCGGTGGAGGAGGTAGCTTCCCCGGGAAGTCCTGCCTGCTGTGCAGAGCGGCAGGACTGAGGGGTCTCCCTCAGATGGGGAGCACCCATCCTTAGGTGGAATACTGGGCTGAGGTTCTCATACTGCTCGGCCCCTGACTGCTGGGTAACCTTGGACCTGTCACTTCCCTTCTCTGGGAGCTCTCGAGGTCTTTTCAGCCCAGGGGTCTGGATTCCAGTCATCTCCAGTATAAGGAGACCCTCAGGCAGGCCTCTGCAGTGGCGCAACTACAGGAGCCTCTCCTGCCACCCATGCTAAGCATGTATGGGTTACTTATTGCCCACCACATGGCCAGGTCCTATGTGGGGGAGAGAGGCCACAGCTTACAGTGGGTGGGCACTAACCCATCCATTTGACCCACTCATGGTGCTGGTGCTGAAGCATCAGGGCTGTGGCTTGAGCTCCATGGCTCAGACCCCTCTGGGGATCCCGCTTTCCATGGGCAGGGACAGGGGCAATTGTGTGTGGGTACCTGCTTACCTGTGCTCTCCGGGGAAACAGCAACTGCCCCGCTGCCAGGTGCCCAGAGGGGATGCTACGCAGAATGCACTTACAGTTAGGTGTTAGTTACAAAGCCATCCTGCAACTTGGGTTTCAGCCTTTGGAGAAAACCTTCAGTGCTGTTTCTGCTCTTTCCCCAAATGGCTCTTGCTGGAACAAGTTGAATAAGGTCATGGAGTTAATAAGAGGAGGAGCTTGGCTTGAACCCTGACAGGCACCCTCTAGGCCCATACTCTTAACCATGAAGTTCTCCTGCATCACATGTCAGATGGTACAGCAGGAAGGGGTGCTTCGTTTGTACCCTGATTACTTCCCTAACATCCAGGTACTTCTCTCCTGAAAGGCTGTCTACTCTTTCTCTGTTCCTCATTTTCTTGTTCTCTCTATTGTGAACTCTCTTTGTCTTTCTGCATCTGTTTGTTGAGTGCATCTCTTCTTTATTACTGAAGTCTAGGGACTCTATGATCATCTGTGTTTAAAATTACAGAGTGAGAGATTTAGGTTAGATGCAACAGAGGATTGATTCTCCAAAGCTGACCAAGAAATAGTCCCTCCAGTGGCCTTTGGATCTAGATATTTGTATGTCCATGGGTTCTACGGGTTCCATGTGGAATTGGGGGCTGGACTTGATGGCTTCATCAAGTGGTACTCAGGGCCAGGCCTTGAGAGACCCTGGGTCTCCTGAGAGCATCCAGAGAGACGTAGGCTGACTGGAAGGAGGTCTAACGAAATGGAGTCATATAATATGTACTCTTTTGGGTCTGACTGCTTTCACTTAGCAAAATGTTTTTAAGATTCATACATGTTGTATATATCGGTTCATTCTTTTTTTTTACTGCTGAGCAATATTCTGTTGTGTGCAAGTACCACAGTTTGTTGAGCCATTTGCTTGTTCATTTGAATTGTTTCCAGTTTTAGGCTATTATGAATAAAGCTGCTGTTGAAAATGCTTGTACTAGGCTTTCTGTGTTCATTTCTCTTGGATAAATTCCAGGGCGTAGAATTGATAGGTCATAGGGGAGAGTATGTTTACCTTTTTAAGAACTGACAAACCATTTCCCAAGATGACTGTAGCACCTTTCACTCCCACCAGCCACAGACGGGAGTTGCACTTGCTCCAAATTCTTGCCAACAATTTGGTGGTAGGAAGCGACTCTGGTGAGTGTGTAGCGGTATTTCATTGTGGTGTTAATTTGTATTTTCCTGATGACTAATGATGTTGAGCACTTTTTCATTTGCTTATTAGCCGTTCGTATATTTTACTTTGGAAACTGTTTAAGTCTTTTGCCCATTTTTTTTGGTTGGGTTGTTTGTCTTTTTATTGTTAAATTGGAGGAGTTCTTTATATACTCTAGATCCAGGGTCTCTATCAAATATATATTTTGTGGACATTTTCTCTCAGTCTTTGGTGTGACTGTTGATGTTCATATAGTATCTTTTGATGAGCAGTTTTTCATTTTAATGAAGTCTAATTTATCGGGTTTTTTATGGTTAGTGTTTTCTCAGTTCTACTCAGGATATCCTTGCCTGCCTCAATGTGGTGAAGATATTCTTCTTTATTATCTTTTAGAATCCTTATACTTTCAGCTTTTACATTTAAGTCTCTGATCCATTTTAAGTTAATTTTTGTGAATGATGAGAGGTATGATTTGAGATTAACTTTATTCCATATGACTGGTTGTTCCAACACCATTTGTTGAAAAGATTGTCCTTTTTCCATTACATTGCATTGAGACCTTTGTTGAAAATCAGTTGAATGCGTAAGTACGTGTGAGTTTATTTCTCTTCCACTGATCTATTTGCCTGTGTTGGCGCCAACATGGTCTTATTTACTCTTAAGTCTTAAATCAGGTACTCTCAGTTTTTCAACCTTGTGTATTTTTAAGAATATTTTTCTTAAAACAAGGAACTTTGCCTTGCAATATAAATGTTAGTCTGATAGCCAATTGCTACCAAAAAATCCAACTGGGATTTTGTTTAGGATTACACTGAATCTGTAGACCGATCTGGGGAGAATAGACATCATGATAATAGTCGATCTTCCACTTCATGAACATAGTATATCTCTCCATTGGTTTAGGTCTGTTTAAATTTCTCTCAGCAATAGTTTGTATTTTCAGAGCAGAGGTCTTTTACATATTTCATTAAATTATATCTAAGTATTTTATGGGTTTTTTTGATGCCACTATGATTTTTTTATTTTCCAGTTTTTGTTGCTATGATATTTGTATATGTTGAATTTGTATCCTGCAACTTTGTTAAATTCACTTATTAGTTCTGTTAGCTTTTTTCTAAATTTATCAGAATCTTTCTTGTACATACTGATGTCATCTGCTAATAAAGACAGCCTCACTTCTTTTTTTCTAATCTGTATTCCTTTTATTATTCTCTTTCTTCCCCATTATGCTGATTAGGACGCTCCAGTTCAGTGCTGAATAAATGAAATGTGTGGATATCTCTGCCTAGCTCCCAATCATAGGGTTCAGTTTTTCATCGTTAAGTATGATCATTTTCATCGTTAAGTATTATGTTAGCTAAAATAGGTTTTCATAGATGCCCCTTTGTCAGTTCAGGAAGTTACCTTCTATTTCTAATTTACTGAAAGTTTTTATCAGAAATTGGTGTTAGGTGTTTTTTCTGCATCTGTTGAGATGATCCTATGATTCTTATCTTTTATTCTGATAATGTGGTAAATTACATGGATTGATTTTTTTTTTTTTTTTTTTTTTTGCGGTACGCGGGCCTCTCACTGTTGTGGCCTCTCCTGTTGCGGAGCACAGGCTCCAGATGCGCAGGCTCAGCGGCCATGGCTCACAGGCCCAGCCGCTCCGCGGCATGTGGGATCCTCCTGGACCGGGGCACGAACCCGCATCCCCTGCCTCGGCAGGCAGACTGTCAACCACTGCGCCACCAGGGGAGCCCAACATTTCTTATACTGTAGGTCTGTTGGTGAAAGATTCTCTTAATTGAAAGTGTTTTTATTTCACCTTTTCTTTTGAAGGATGTTTTCTTTGGATGTGAAATTCTAGGTTGAGATATTTTTCTTTCAGCATTTTAAAAATGTCATTCCTTTATCTTCTGGCTTATGTTGTTTCTGATGAGAATTCAGAGATCATTCTGATTGTTATTCTGTATTTAATGGGTCTCTTTTCTCTGAATGCTTTTAAATATTTCTCTATATTACTAATTTTCAGCAATTTGATTACGATGTATAGTTTTCCTCGTGTTTATCCTGTTTGGGGTTCACTGAGCTTCTTAGATGAGTGGGTTTATATTTTTCATCAGATTTGGAAAATTTTCAGCCAGTATTTCTACAAATATTTTTCTTCCCCAATCTCTTCCTTCTCCTGTTGAGATTTTAATTGCATATATATTAGATTGTTTTATGATGTTTACAGATCAGTTGAAGCTCTGTTCAGTTTTCCAGCCTTGTTTTCCCTCTGTGTTTCAATTTGGATAATTTCTAGTGTCCTGTGTACAAGTTTACTGATCTTTTCTTCTACGGTCTTACTTGTTTCATTAGAAATATCCATCAAATGAATTTTACATTTCAGCTATTGTATTTTTCATCTCTATAATTTCCACTTGGTTCCTTTTTACATTGTTTCTTTCATTATATTCATATTATCCTTTAAGTGCTTGAGCATATTTATAATAGCCGTGTTAAGGTCCTTGGCTGCCATCATCCCTGTCATTTCTTTATGTTCCTGTTGATTTTTTTTCTCTTGATTATTACTCACACTTTCCCACTTCCCCTAACAAATAAATTTTTATTCTGTGCTGAACATTGTGGATGCATATGCTATGTTGCTGAGTGTGTGGATTTTGTTGTCTTCTTCTAAAAAGTGTTGAATTTTGTTCTGGCATCTGGCAGGCAGTTAATCTACTTACAGATCAACTCGATACTTCAAAGCCTTGTTTTAAAGCTGTGTTAGGGCAGTTCCAGAGCAGTCCTTATTCTAGGGTTAGAGTAATCCTTCTGAGGCATGGCTTTTCTGGGTCTCAACTGAATGCTGGAGGTATTCAGCAGATCTCTCCTCTGGCAGGTGGAACTCAGATATCTCCTTGCCTTTTGCCACCTCTGAATCTTCAGTCAGCTCCCGCCCCGCCCCAGCAGCTATTGGTTGCCAGTCATTGCAGAGACTCCCTCTGCGCAAATACAGTTTGGTGTTCAGCCAAAGACTTCAAGGGGCCCCTCTGCCCATTTCTGGAGTTGTTTTTTTGCACAATTGCCTCCTCTTTGTTATTCTTCCCTGTCAGTTCCAGCTGCCTCAGAAGCCCTGAACTCTGATCACTGTCTCTCAGATCAGTGAGATTGCAGTGCATCCTTCAAGCTCCACCTCTGTGCTGTGGTCCAGAGGGTCTATCCTAGCAGAGAGCTGGGGTGATCCTGGGGCTCACAGCAGGTCTTCTTTCATGAATCACAGTCTTGCACCATCTACATTCAGAGTCTGAAAATTCTTGTTCCATGCATTTTGTCCAGCTTTACAGTTGAATCTGGAGGAGGGCTAGTCCTGTACCAGGTATACATACCATCATGGCCAGAAGTGTAAGGTCTCCAGTTCTCTTTCTAAGACTGAAATCTGTGAGCAGTGGTTCCCAAATTAGATTCCCCTTGCATCACCTCTCCCTTGCATTCCCTCCTCTAGCCTTTGAGCACCCTATTCCCTTTTGCCTCCAATGCGTTTCCACTCCCCTCTACTGCGTTAAAGGTTTCAGGGAAATCCTCTGGTCTTCCCTGCCTCTCAGCTGCATGGTTACCTTTCTTGAATCCTTATAGTCTCTGAATTTCTGTTCCAGTTAAATTTTCAGCTTTACAGAAAGAAGAGACCACGTGCTGTCTTATTTTTAATATCTCTTATGTGTAAATATCTCATACCTTTACTTACTAGGCCAGTTTGCCAGTCTGAAATGCTTTCTTCCTTTCTCAGTGAGAGCCCAGGTAGGAATATCAGCCTGATAACATTCCATGTGAGAAAGTCAACAGATGGAGCAAAAGGTTGAGTGAAATGAATTAGGAGCCTGGGAAGTTTATCTTGGCTCGGCACTGATCTCCTCTGTGACCCTGGCATGGTGCCCGTACCTCTCTGAGCCTCTTTGTCCCTAGCTGCCTTATACCCTTGGTACCAGTGGGAGGATAACATGTGAGAAGCTTCTTTCGCCCTCTCTTGGGCATCCCATCTTTAATGTGCTCTGTTTAAGTGGCTCTGAGCCATTTGTGCTTTGATTCCTGGTTCCACAGTATCTGTTGAGCACTTCCTGTGTGTTAGGGAATGTGCCAGGCACTGAGTGCGTGGTTGGACCAAAGTGGCAGAGTCCCTACCCCCACGGAACATACAGGGTAACGGGGAAAGAGACACTGATCAAAGATCACACCATGGGTCATCACTGGTGGCAGTCAGATCTTGGAAGGGAACAAGGGAGGCGACTGGAAGATAAATGACCAGATGGGGTATCAGGGAGGGCTTCCGGAGGAAGTGATGTTTCGGTGGAGGTATGTAGGACCGGCAGTAGTAATCCAGGCAGAAACTGGAGGGAAGAACATTCCAGGCAGAGGTGATACCATGAGCAAAGGCCATGAAACTTGGAAGAGAGAGGGGTAGACTGAGAGGGCAGGAAGTGGGCAGGCCCCAGGCAAGGGTCCAGGGCAAGCAGGTGATGCCCGAGGGTTTACTGTATCATGTGCTTTTGGGTGTCCTGAGCTCCCTGCCACAGGGAAGGAGGGGCTCTCCCACACGGAATGCCAGGATTTTGACAGCAGGGTCGCAGACCATGAAAAGATCTGATCCAGAGGGTCTCCTAGAAACCATTCTGCAGGTGGAGACGAGGCCTAAGAGGGGAAGCAACACGCTCTGTTTATTGCTCAGAAATTCTCTGTCCCTTGTGCCCAGGTGCCCGGGGGTGTGTTAGTGCCTAAGGGGACCACATGGCCTGTGCAAAGACCTCCATGAGAAGCTGGCAGGCTTGAGCCCCCGTCCCATCCTGGCACTAACTTTCTGTGTGGCTGTAAACTTATTAACCATTCTGGGCCTTGGTTTCCTTATTCCTAAAAAATACCATTAATAACTGTTTACATTTGAAGAGTAGTTTACCGTTCAGGGTGCTTCCGTGACCTGTATGGATTCTCACAAAATCCCTGTGAGGTTGGTAGTGCAGAGATGGGTGTCCTGCTTTCATCAGTGGAGGTGAGGTGGGAAAACTGAGGCCAAGAGGGGAAGTAAAGAGTCCAAGACCGCAGAAGCCGGAGGTGACAGACTTGAGATTCAGAGGTGGGTCAGGCTCACCTCACACTCAGTGCTGGTTCCATTAAACAGTGAACCACAAGCTGTGGTCCCCAAACTGTGCTTCAGGGAGACGGGAGGAATCAGAGATGGGACGCTGGACGCCTTCCTCAGAGTTTGATGTGTAGGTTTATCCCGTGGCTAAGAAAAAAACAATTGAGAATTGTGAGATGAGCCACCCTTCCAGTTGAACTCGGGACCTTCAAGGTCTTTCACTCTGAAAGGGAGGGAGGGAGAAAGGGGGATCATATGTAAGTCTCCTTCCCCACCCACCCGTCTCCAGTTCCTGATTGAGAAAGTGAGAATCTGGAGAGTGGGGTGGCGGGGAAGAGGAGTGGCGTGGGACACCTGTGTTCTCCACAGACTGAGCCTGGGGGATTCCTCCTGGGGCTTGGGTGGGACAGGTGAGGGCTTGCTTACGGGGCCACGACCAAAGGACGCCCCATCCCCAGCTCCTGGCATCTGGCTGCTACTGAGGTGGAAAGGCAGTGACCTCCCCAGGGGGACAAGGGGGGCCAGCCTGAGTCCTCTGAGCTCACCTCAGGGCCTCGGGTCCTGTGTGACCTTGAACAAGGCCCTGGCTCCTGCATCTCTGGGCCTGGGCTTCCTCCGGCCGGGAGTGGGCAGAGGTGGAGGGTCAGGGAGTGCCCGTTTATTTTGGCTATGAGAGCTGTGGGCGCAGCGTCTGGTGCCCAGGATGAACACTTCCCTGGGAGCAGGGGTATAAGAAGGTCTCTCCTCTGCCCCTGAGGCAGGCAGCAGGGCAGCGTCCTTCCCCGGCTCCGGCCAGGCTCTGAAGCAAGGTGGTGCCCTCGAGGTGTTCCCAGTGCCGGTGGGCTCCGTGAGCCCCCGGTCAGCCCCGGAGGGTCCCTTCTCTTGCCGTCTGGTCCACTCTTGCCCTCCGGGAAGAGTTGCAGTTGAGCGAAACCACTGCCTCCCCTTTCAGTTGGAAGGTGGCACTGTGGCCACATTCAGGGGCTTGCCACCCCGGTAACTACGTCTCCGGGCAGCGTGCAGGAGGCTGCCACCTGATACCAGCCGAGCTGGAGACCCGCTGAGGGTCAGGGCCCCCCACCCGTGTTCTCAGTAACTCCCATTTCTGCAGAGAAGGCGGGCAGGGGAGGCAGGAGGTGTGGGAAATGGTGACACAAGCTGCCCCTAACCCCACCGGGGAGCTGCTGCACTGATTTCCATTAAAGCGTCAGGCGTTGGGTCGAGCACTGTCCCCTGAGATTGTCAATCCCAGGCAGTGCCCAGGAGTTCCCCGAGCCCCTTCCCCTAAAACCGTGGGGTGACATTGGGCCCTCTGCTCTTCCCCTCTCCCATCAATCAACCCTGCACGTCTCTGCCTCTCTGTCGCCTATCATTACTGCTGAGCCAGCCTGCGTTGGAAGGAAGAGAGGCTCAGGAGTCAGCATTTTAGAAAATGGATTTGAGCCTGGGTTGACTAATTCAAGTGCCCCAAGCATGGGTCACAGGCCGAGTTCTTAGACACGCAGAGCCTGGGTTGGTCAAGGGTTATGGGTGACCCAGCCAGTGGGTTGGTCAGTGGTCTCCAAGTAATGCTGAGTGTGAGCTGGCAATCAGGCTTCCCTCGAGGAGAAGCTGGGGAGGGTTCTAGACTCCCAGACTTTCTCAGGCTCCAGGTGGGAGCCAGAGCCCTTGCTCTCTGTGGACCAATAAGTTTTGGCCCTCAAGCGTAGGGGTACTTGATCGGCTCCAAGCGCCCTCGGCAACTGAGAGCGTGACCCTCTCAGGTACTGCCCCCGGGTGGGAGCCACCGGACGATCCAGACACGGGCTCTGAGTGTTCGCATCCAGAGGTCTCCCCGTCTCCACGCTTCGTGGCAGCGAAGACCCAGACGAACCAGTCGGGGAAAAAGGCTCCGGCCTCCGTGGTCCGATGCGCTACCCTCTTACACCGCACCCCTCCAGCCACCCAAACCCCGACGTTCCGCACTCCAAATTCGGGATCTCCGGCAAGCAAGGCAACTGCAGGTACCAATGGCCTATGTTACCCTCACACTTCCTCCACTCCCCGCCCTTCTCCCCACCTGCCACAGCTGTGCCCGGGGTCATTGTTCCCTTGCAAGAGCGAGGGTGGTGGTCCCTAGCTCTCTGGGACGAATCTGGGTCCCGGCTCTGCCTCAGGCTGGCTCTGTGACCACGGCAAGCCACCTAGCCTCTCTGAGTCTAGGTTTTCTTACCCTAAATCAGAGGGTTGTACAAGATGGTTTGCAAACTAATTTTTATAAGTAGGAGAATATTTTTCTCCCCAAGTCATGGCCTAAGGGGTTTTAAATTCTTTTAAATTAATTGCCAACATTTGAGCATTAGGAGATTTTTATATGAAACTTTTGATTTCTGGCTTACATTGAAAAGTCAGATCTGGCAGTCCTGGGCCCACTTTCCTCAGGGTAGCAGTTGCCTTGGGGCCGAGCCACAGCTGCCTCCTTCAGTAGAGCGTGTGCTCTCTGGTTTTCCACAGTCCCCACCACTCCCTCCTGCCTCCCCAGTACAGTGGCCACGTGGCAGGTGCCATGTCTCATTGTGATCACACTGTTGTCTGTCTCACATCCAGCCCAGTTCATCCATTTACGTCACCTGCCTGGACCCTCTTGGCATGAGTTTGCATCCCCCATTTTTCAGAAAACCCAGTCTAAAAACTCATTTCTACGAAGAGCTGCTCTCCATGAAGAAGAGGGTTTGGCTGGGAGCTCTGTTCTCTTGGCCTCCCTCTACCTCACTGTTCAGGAAACCCCTCCACGAGCCATAGCCCAGCGGGAAGCCAACGGATGCCCACTCCAGTGTTGTCTGAGTCTACGCAGAAAGGGCTCAGACTCTGGAAGGGTGAACAGGCAGTGGAAGGTGCACACCAGCCATTTCTTACCAGTTATCGGGGAAAACTGATAAGACACACTGTGTGCTGAGTACCAGCTAATCAGGAATCCTGATTCACACCTGGATGGAAGGAGCCTTGGGCCTTCTCCCTAGATATGTGGGTGTAGGGTAGAGTGATGACTTGGTCATTCTGGGACTACGGGCCTTTCAGATACCTTCAAGAGGCCCAAAGTTATCCATTAAAAATATACAAGTGATCAAACTGAGAATTCACTCAAATGAACCAAGGGGGCTGGACCGATTACAGCCACGTGATGAGTTGTGCTCGCCTTTACTCTGGTTCAGAAAGCTAACCAGGAGCAAGGATGTGGTTCTTAAAAATATTTGAAGCTATGCTTAAGTGCTTAGATCTCCCGAAAGGAGAGTAAGTAGTTAATCAACTTTGAAGGTAATAGTTTTCAGCTACTGTGTAGAGAAGAGCTAGTAGCCATTGTTTTTTGGCAACAGTAGTTATAAATCAGTTAAACAGGCTGGTCGTCACGGACTTATTGGTGGTAGATACTGGCTCAACTAAATAATGGGATCACAGCTTTCAGATCTTGATTTTACTCTCGACCTTGTGGCTGGGAGTTTTTGCATCTGCAGTTTCTACAGAGAACTGCCTGTAGGGCCTGTGTGGTCTGAGGCAGCTCTCAGAACCCAGAGTCACCAGGTAAGCATCACAAGCGCTGGGGCTTGCCTGTGGCCGCCTTTATGTGACCTGGAAGACTTGTGGTGGGTGTCACACCTGGACTACTAGCTGCGCAGCTCAGGGGACACCAGGTTGTGAGCCGGAGCCTGCATGTTGGAGCTGGAAGTCATCACTGCCCCCGTCATGCTAGAACAGGCAGCCGCTCCCGTGCGTGCGTGCGTGCGCGCGCCTGCGCGGGGATGTCCCCTGTGGAGCCGCTCGCTGGTTTTCAGCCAGAGGTGCCTATAGCAGGGATTAGCTGATCAAAATCCGCTCCATCAGCTGGGCCATAGGAGGCTAATTATAAGAGTTTGCAACCTCAGTTGTGCTGAATGGCACCAATGTGTTGGTCAGGCTGCACGAAAATCCTCCACAGATGGGTAACCGTCCCCTGCATGCATGAGGTTTAAGATGGCAGAAGGAACCACTTCCCTGCCCCAGCCCTTTTTAAAAAGGAAGCATCTGTCCCAAGAATGAAATCTCCTTATTCTGCCATCTTAAAGGGTTAGGAACTTAGTCAGGCCCAGGAACTTGACAACCTCACTCTCTCTGGGTTTTCACCTATAAGATGGGAATGACAGCGTGGACCTCATAGGGCGATTGGAGGATTATGTGGCTGTAAAGCATCTGGACCAGTGCCTGGCCCATAGCAGGTGCTTCATAAATAAGAGTCCCCCCGTTTTTCCTAGGTAGAGAATTGAGGGGCTTTCTTTGCCAGTTTACAGATGGTATCTTGAAGTGGGCAGGTGTGTAGCCCTCAGTGCAGGCATTTTACAGACACAGTTAGAAGAGAGGGTCTTGTGTGTGATGCTGTCAACAGCCTCTGCCAAAAGGAGGCTGCACCAGGAGGCGCTGTCAGAGTCGGGGGCGGGGGACTGAGCAGGGCCTGCAGGAGCCACCTGGGGCTTCCTTTCCCATCAGCCCAGTGATCGTCTGGAACCTCGGCTCCCATAGCATGAGCGCTTGCCCTCCTGGCATAGGGTGGCCTGGGTGACAATGGCATTTCCCAGAGTGGGTTCCCAGAATCACCATTTTTGAAGGATGTTAAGGAATCTCATATTTTTAAATGGGCTTCAGTGGCCGATTATATTTGGGAAGGTTGGGTTCAGTGAAGCTAGATGGGTCTCTCTCCGGTCGAACTTCTCAGAGCCTTTGATATCCTCAAGCAAGCTGTTTCTCCTTAAGAAAGGCTGCTGGGTCAGCTGCTCATCCCAGATTGACTTGTTCCCAGAAGCTTTATATCCTGGCACATCCAGCATCCCCACTGAGCAGCTTGGAAAAGCCGTCACCTTCTGGCTCAGACGTTCGAGACAGAACGTTGGTGTCTCCCACCTGGTTGGACCCTTTCTCTGACTCCGGCGTTTACAGAGAGTTCTGGGAGAAGGCGAGCCACTCAGGAAGGCACGTCAGTGGAGACACCCCAGAATCACTCAGGGAGCCAGTCCCTTGCCCCCGATGAACCCCGACCAGACCTCACCTGGTCTTTGGCCTCCCAGGGTGTGGGGCTACCCGGCTCAGCCTATCATGACATCTCTGCCACCCAGGGACCCCTTCCACTCTCTGGCCCTCCTGCTCTGCCAGAGCCACCCCCAGAAAGCAGTCTGTCACCCTCCCTGCTCCTTGGTGGGGCCTGTGTCAGCAGAATCTGGCAGAGCAAGTCGCGAGTGGCAGATCCAGATTATTTAGTGTCACGTGTGGCTCCCCAGGGGTCAGAGATGGGAGACCCTGGCCTGTGTGCCATCTACTCGATCAGTTGGAGCTCAGGAGTGCGCCCACATCCCACACACATCCCCCCCGTGCCTGGACCTCCACCCACCCTGGGCACTGTCGGGGACCTCCTGGGACCCTGACGAGGTATCAGGCAATTCAGGTGAGCCTGAGGAACTGCAGGTTTGGGGTTTGCGGTTCTGGAGCCCATCCCTCTGCTGGTTCCCCAGCATAAAGCCTCAGGCACTCACCCAGCCCAGGGGCCGGGGCAGTTCCCACGTCCCTGGCCTCCCAAGCCCCCTCTGGCATGCCCCTCCCTTTGGACCTGTTGCTGACCAATCACCATGGTTTTTCCTTGCTCTCTCCTCTCCCCACCCAGCAGAAAGCGCTTTCAGTCGGAGGGTAGAAGGCAAAGCACAAAACCACTTTGAAGAGACGAATAGCAGTTCCCAAAACTCCAGCGGTGAGTGTGCCCCATGACAGTCACCCTGTGTTGCGGCCTCAATCCGCTCCGGGATCTTTGCGGTGCGTGATGGGGCAGGGTGTCGGGGGGAGGCTGAGAGCAGAGCATTAGAGGGCGGCCAGAGCCCGGCAGGCAGAAGCGGGAGGGGCCCTTTTTTCCAGGGACATCCCTCCGGGCCTTAGGAGCATCTCCGGGACTATGGATCCTCTTTGTCTCTTCCCCATGGAGAGAGGAACTCCCCTGCCCCATGACCTGTGTGATACACTGACTTGGATGGCCCCCTTTGAGCCATTGCTATGTTTATAGGATGAACATCACAGCCATTTTTTTTTTCCAGAAGAAGCAAAGCGGGTTACAGTAGAGAGAGCTGTGGCCTAAGAGCCGGAGGCCCCAAGTTCTGGTCCCCTTTTGGACCTGGGAACATCCAAAGGTTCCCTTCCAGCCCCTACCAGCCCAAGTAGGCTTGCCTGAGGTTCCCAGGGGTGTTTTGGCGCCCCCTGGTGGTTGCCTCCTGCAGGACTCTAGCGGAACCCTATAGCACCTTAGAGCAGCCAAAAGCCACTGTCCCCAGCCAGACCTGGGGCCAGCCTGGCGGAGCCATGCGTGATCACAAGCAGCCTCTGCCCGAGAAAGGCACAGCAAGCTGGTCTGCACGGTGCCAGCCAGGGCGGGGTGTAAAAAAGATTCTGGTACTTCCTTTATACCAAGGTAAGCCATCACTCGCTTTCTTGCTCAATTGAAGTTTAATTCACCAGATTAGGTGCTGGCCTGTGCTCAGCACCGTGCTGGGCACTGCTTGGGTGCAGACAGATGATGCACGTGGCTTGACCACCAGTCAGGGGCTTTATGAAACATCCAGGAGCGCAGACTTGCACATGCAAGCTTCCTCACAGTGATCTGAGCTCCAGCCGAGGCTCGACCCCAGCTCCACCATCCACAAGCCGGTGACTTGAGCTCGCCTCTCAATTTCACCTCTGCTGTGGAATGGGCATGGCACACACGTTCTCGCCTCTCAATTTCACCTCTGCTGTGGAATGGGCATGGCACACACGTCCCTGTGGTGGGGAATATTCAGAGGGTGCCCTGCAGAGTTCACACACTCACATGGTAGGCTGTTTGGGAGGTGGCGGTGTTTCTTAAGTAAACCAAGTGGTTTGATGAATAAGTGCTCCGAGGAAGGGAGTGAGGCGTGCCGTGGGAGCCCCGAGAATGTTGCCACGATCCTTTAAACCGTAGAGAGCATGTCGACTTTTCCAAACTGCTTCATCCTTTTGGAAGCTATAACCCACTCAGCCCCTCCAAAAGGTGAGCCTTAAAGAACTGGAGTGACTGGCCCAAGGCCACACAGGAATAAGCAGCAGAGCCAGGACTGAAACCGCGGTCTCCCGGGAGCCTTTGTTCCCAGCCAGCCAGGCTGCACCGCCTGCCTCTCCTTCCACCAGAGCCGATGTTCAGGGTTGGGAATGACGGTGTGAAGCGCTGCTCCCGCCGGCAGCCACCATTTATTGAGCGCTTACTGTGTGCCTGGCACGTGTTCAGAGCTGTATGTGTCTTAACCTGTTTTCATCCTTACCACAGCCCAGTGAGGGTCAGTGTTATTGTTATCCCCACTTTTTGGATGAGGAAACTGAGACTCAGGAGACGTTGATTGTTGCCCCAGGTCCCCAGCTTGTGAGTGGTGGAGCCAGGATTCCCGGTGTAGTCCGTCTGGCCCCGTTCTGCCGCCTCCTGCCTGTGAGGCTCACCTGACCATGCCAGGAAGCGCGGAGAGCTGCCAGCAGACAGAAGAGCCCTCAAAGCGCAGCCCTCCCTTGGCCTCTCTGGTGTTTGGTGCCAGACAGTACCACCCCGGTGCCAGGACCTAGAAGCAGCTCCCAGCTCCCTGTCCTGAACCAGGCAGCATGGATATTTTCTCCTTGGCGCTCCGTGGGCTGACTTTTTGAAAGTTGAGGGTGTCCTGGAGGGATGGCCCCGGCTGATCTCGCCCTGCCCGTGCCCCAGCCCCACCCCAGCTGCCCCCTCCTCCTCCGAGAGCCCATCTGGCTCACTACTTCCTAAGGACAGAAGTAATGACTGTCATCTCCGAGCACCAGAACCAGAAGAGACTTAGCTAAACTGTTTCTCTTTTGCAGAAACTGCAAGTCCCCTGATTTCCAATCCTTTCCCTCTCCTACAGAGTAAGTGATGGTCCCATCGGGGGGCTGGAGAGGGCGAGGCAGGGTAGGGAATGAACTCAGCCAGCCACACGTTCGGGACCTCCCCAGAGCATCAGACCTGGGCCGCCCTCCCAGGTAGACCCAGTTGGAGGAGGTGGAGGCACAGGGAGACCCAGCCCAGGCGGGTGGAGGAGTTTGGACAGGTGTCGGGCGGAGCTGTGACCATGGGTGTCCTGACTCTGCCACCCCCAGCCCTGCAGGAACAAAGCCACCCCTTCCTGCTCACGGGGGCAGTCTCAGGACGCCTCTTCCGAGCGCATCTCCGCCATCCTCCTGCTGTCTTTTCCCTACTCGTTTTTGCTCTCTTCTCTCTTTCTTTTTCCTTCCCCGTCCCTCTGCTGGGCACGCACCCGCGCGTTCCTATGTCCTCTCATTCTTGCCGCCCTCCGGCCCGCTTCTCTTCCCTTTCCTGTCTTACCCCTGCTTCTCTAGCTCTTCTGTGTTTCTCCACTTCTCACCCTTTCTCTCACCCCTTCTCTCCTTCTCTTTACTGCCCTCCACATCCATTATGTTGTTTTTGGTTCATTCATACGTTCATTCATTTGTTCACTCAGCAAACAGTGCTGTCTGTGTGCTTCCACCGGCTGAGAGGTGGGCTGTGGAACAAATAAGACGTGGTCTCTGCCCTGAGAGAGCTCTTGGTCCCTTAGTGTTATCCCCGGCGCCCGGAACAGTGTGGCACACAGTGAACACTCGATAAATGCCGCTTGACTACACTTGGCGGTCTTGATCTGCCAGTCTTCCTCTCTCCATTGCTCCTTCCCCCGCAGCCTCTCCCTCACTAGCTAGTGACAGGGGGGCAGACAGGCCCAGAGCCCTGAGTGCACAGCCCCCATGTGTGTCTGGGTGCCCAGTTCCAAAGCTGCCTGCGGCCCAGCAGAAAGGCATCTGGGTTTGTGCTGCCCCTGAAACGGCTGCTCCGTTTCTCCCTGCAGAGCCCTACACGTGCGGCGCCTGTGGAATCCAGTTCCAGTTCTACAACAACCTGCTGGAACACATGCAGTCCCACGCGGGTAAGGGCCCCACGGTGGACGGGGGCGGGGTACTGAAGCCCCCCTTATCCCTCCCACCCTCAGATCCCACGAAAGGCAGGGACGGCCAGGGCCAGCCTGCGGCCGCTCTCCCAAAAGACAGTCCCAGGACATGGGAGCCCTGGTTACTCCGTTGTAAGTCAGGGTGGTCTGTGCCCTGCGGGGGCAGCTGGCTTGGTGGCAGCGTAGCCAGAGAGGGGGTCGGAGCTAGAGAAGGCTTCCAGAAATTGTGACCTCTGCCCGGAGCCTAGAGGCCAAACAGGAGCTGAGCAGGACAGAGTCGTGGGCGTGTGTAGGGTTGAGTGTGGTTTGAGACCCAGGTGAGCGGAGGAAGGGGAGGGCAGTGGAGAGGGCTCAGCCCGGTGCAGCCTGCGGCGACCCCCATTGCTTTTGCGGTCATACCCCCGAAGCAGCAGTCCTCGAACGTGAGCGTGCATCAGTCACCAGGAGGGCTGGTGACAGCGCAGATTTCTAGGCCGCACTCTGAACTTCAGATGCGTGGGTCTAGGGCGGGGCCCAGGACTCGCATTTCTGACAGGTCCTCAGGCCACACACACCCGGCTTGTCCGGGACCACACTTTGAGAACTGCTGCTGTAGAGAGCCACAGCTAGGAGTCTGCTGTCTGGACACCCTTTTTATCAGCTGTTTTGCCATCTGTCCGGCTTACAATGTCAGCTCCCTCACTAGACCACCAGCCTCCAATTTTAGGTTTTGGTCATAGTAGCACTGATTTCTTTTTTTCTTTTTTTTAACGTCTTTATTGGAGCATAATTGCTTTACAGTGGTGTGTTAGTTTCTGCTGTATAACAAAGTGAATCAGCTGTACGTATACATATATCCCCGTATCTCCTCCCTCTTGAGCCTCCCTCCCTCCCACCCTCCCTCTCCCACCCCTCTAGGTGGTCACAAAGCACCGAGCTGATCTGATTTCTGATCTGATCTCTGTTTTAGGCAGGCAGACACTGCTTGCTGTAACAGGTAAATCCCAAATTCTCAGTGGTTTGACATACCACTTCCTTCTCAGCCACATCACAGCCTAATGCACGCGGCCTTCCACGTGGAGATTCAGGGACCCAGACTCCTTCCTTCCTGTGTCTCCATCCTCCCCTGGGTCACAGAGTCCTCTCTCTCTGACTGATGGGCGGGGAGAGAGGCACCCTTCCTTCTTTACCACTTCAGACCACAAGTGACACACATATGCTCAAATTCCAGAGCCCTGCCCAGGGACAGCCCGACAAGGGAAACGGGAACATGGGGGAGACAGCTCGCTGACCCTGCCACCCTTCCCGTAGGGTGAGCCTCTGGAGGCATTGGAGGCGATGTGAGAAAAGCGCCTGACACAGACGGTGGCTCAGTAAAGGCCAAAGAGGAGCTGACCAGGAAAGAGACTGAGTGTTTGCTTAGCTGCTGTCACGGTGGTTGTTGTTAGTTATTGCTTGTCTCTCTCTTAGGTTTCTGAATCTTTCATATCACCTTCCAGGTCTGGCCTGACTAGCACAGAGTATTACAGGGCGAGACGCTCTCCAGGCAGGTGCTGTTCTGTTAGTGTGACCCCTCTTCATTTATGCAGCGTATATCTATTGGGTATCTGCTGTACACTAGGCACCAACTCGCATGATTTTGGGTGGGAGGGAGATAATTTATTTCTAATGTACTCATTAAAATCAGTGCAGGGACTTCCCTGGTGGTCCAGTGGTTAAGAATATGTGCTTCCCGATGCAAGGGGTGCGGGTTCAATCCCTGGTCGGGGAACTAAGATCCCACATGCTGCATGGCACGGCCCAAAAATTTAAAAATAATAATAATAAAATAAAATCAGTGCAGAGCTGGATTGGCTGCCATGACACGTGAGTTCCAGTCCTCTCTAACCGATGTGTCTCTATACCATGTGACCTCAGGCAGGAAACTTTGTCGTGCCCCCCCACTCTGAGTCTCCATCTCTAAAACAAGGGCACACAGACCTGCAATCTCCAGCTGCCCTCCTTACACCAAGGTTCTGTCTTCACGTGTCTCACAGCTCCTGCTTGCCTTTGCTGTCAGCCATCCTGCACCAGGGAAGGCCTTGAATGCACTCAGAGCACTTAGACTTGACCCCGTGGGGAACCAGTAGCCAAAGTTAGAAGGATGCTGGGGACCACTGCCTGAGCACAGCGCTTGGGCCCGAGACCCCCACGGCCCCGTCTCTGCTCCCTTCTCCTCTGAAACCCTCTGCCCCTCTGCCGGCTCTGGAAGCTGAGCCCTAATTAGGGAAGAGTCTGGGTGCCAGGGCCTCTCTGTCCCTCAGGCAGTCGGGCGGAGGCCATTAACATGCAAATCAAGGGTGCGCCTGTGGGTGCCCCACCTCCCCCAAGCATCCCAACTTGTTTTCCGAGAAGAGCTTTGGGCTGCTTTGTTCTGGTTCAGTGCTGGCAGAGAATGCCTTGACGGCAACCCAGTGCAAAGCCAGGCTGAATCCCAGCCAGGCTGAGTCGGGATTAAAGGATTGACTCCATAGAGAGAAATTAAGCGTCATGATCTGCGCAGTTCACCGCGCTGCTGATAAGGGGGATCAGCCTCGAATAACAGCAATCTCATTAAGAGGCTGCTGAATGGCACAGGGTAATTCCCGCTAATAAACTTCCCGTCTGCGCTGTAGGAGAACCTGCCTGGCCCCTGGTGACAGCTTAGGAGCAGGTTTTGGCGGCAATAATACTAAAGATAGCTAACACTTAGTGAGCGATTACCATGTGTCAGGCCGGGCTCCTCAACAAGCTGGCTGGCATTATCATCCCCATTATACAGATGAAGAAACTGAGGCTCAGAGAACATAATCGCTGGCCCAAAGTTGCATGGCTCGTAAAAAGCACCTCACATCGTTTGAGTTCTTACGTATTAGCTCATTTGATCCTCAGAACATCCCTCTGAGTTGTGTCCACATTAGCTCGCCTTTATAGATAAGGAAACTGAGGTGAAAAGGGCTAAGTATAGAAAATGGAAGCACATATTTTGGGCAGAAAAATGTCACTTAAAAATTACTTATCAATAAGAAAATTATTAGTCCTGTGCAACAATTAATGATTTAAATAATGATAATATTTAAGAAATATAAACTGTTTCCATAATGTTTTGCCTCCAGAATGCAATAGCTCATTTCCTCAACTGCTATCAGTAGGGCAGACGCTTTGATTTTTTCCCAAGTTATAGTGCTGTTTGGCTTGTGTTTAGAAGTGTGCAGTATGCAGTTCATTTTAGTGTGCTATTTCTGTGTTGTTTATTTTTTGTTCTTTTAATAAAATGTGTAAATTTCAAAATAAAATAAAGTGGCTAAGTAACTTGTCCAAGGCTCTGCAGCCACAGTATGAGACCAGGATTCTGACCCTCCCATGAACTCCAGAGCCGGTGCTCTGAACACCCACCCTCTTCAACAGGGTAGATGAGGTGGAGGATTAGGGATGGGGGAAGCCCCCTCAGAGGTCATCTCTTCTAGCCTCTTTTCAAGTAGTCGGGGGACTGCAGCTAAGTGAGGCCTGGGGACTTTGCCAGGAGGCAAACAAGTTGGCAACTCAGAGTGGTAGGATTTGGGAATGGCCACATTTAATTTCTGATCCCTTTGAGCTACTTCACCTCTCTGGGCATCGATCTTCTCATCTGTAAAGTAGGCTCATCACCATTCTCCACAGGCTGGGTGAGGGTTCTGGAGATGATGTGTGTAAAGTATTAAGGGCTATGGCACATTCTAAAATAAGACTGAATAATGCAGTTTTCTATTTTTCTATCCCCTGCTAGAAACAACTGCTTTCTTCTTTCTGCAACTGGTCCTTCCTTGGGAGACAGCCTTTATTCCAGCTTTGCATCCCGCCCTTTACAGATGTCTGTGTATCTGTACGTGTGTGAGCGTATGTATCTGTGGTACGTAGGGTTAGCCACACTGAGTAAACCTTGTTTCCAGCTCAAGCTATAGATCATTTACTGAGTACCTCACCCATTTAGCAGCATTATCTGTGAGATAAGGAGAAAAAAAGTTTTTTTAATAAACCATGCTAGACATCATTATCTAATTAGAGGTTGAATAATCCCAATTTCAAGCCTTGCAGAAAGGCAGAGAATGAGGGAATCGCCCTGCAGCTTGCCCAGCCCCGGGATTTTGGAAGGAGGAGGGGAAACTGAGCCCTAGAGAAGTGAAGTGCCTGACTCAAGGTTATAATACTCAGCCAAAGCCTGGTTCAAATCCCGGGCTTCCAAATCTCTGTACTCTAGCAGAGAAAGTCAGTAAGAATGGCTGCTGGTTTCCATTTTAAAATTTGTGTTTCTCTTTTTTACACGTGAGGTCTATTCATTAAAGGAAATTGGGAAAATGCAGAGAAATTACAAAATGAAGACTCAGCCATAATCTCACTACTCAAAGTTAGCCACTGTTACTTTTTTTTTTTTTTTTTTACAAATATTTATTGAGTATATATGGTGTACTGCTATAAAGTGAATGGTTTTTTGGTTTTTTATTTTTGGCTGCGCTGGGTGTTCGTTGCTGCGCGCAGGCATTTCTCTAGTTGAGGCGAGCGGGGGCCACTCCTCGCCGCGGTGCGCGGACCCCTCACCGCAGTGGCCTCTCTTGTTGAGGAGCACGGGCTCTAGGCGCGAGGGTTAGCAGTTGTGGCTCACAGGCTCCAGAGCGCAGGCTCAGCAGTTGTGGTGCGCAGGCTTAGCCACTCTGCAGTATGTGGGATCCCCCCGGACCAGGGCTCGAACCCGTGTCCCCTGCATTGACAGGCAGATTCTTAACCACTGCATCACCAGGGAAGCCCAACTGTTACTCTTTTAATGGTTTCTTTTCAGTCTATTTTAAAATCAGATTTATTGAGATATAATTTACATAAATAAAATTCACCAATTTTAAGGGTACAGTTTGATGTGTTTTGATAAACGTGTAGTCATTTAACCACTATCACAAGCACAATGTATAGTGTTACCATCGACCCAAAAAGTTCCCTTTGCAGCAAGTCCC